CCAACCATATGCAGTTGTGAGTAATGCTGGTGCGAGTACCGTCTTCGGTGGATCTCCTTATGGGGCCACGAACCGTTTGAGGGGTGTGCCGAAATGGGTGTGGGGGCGGCATGCGAACGTTGCCACTGGGGCCTTCGGTGGAGCTCCCAATGGGGCCACGAAACGTGTGAGGGGTGTGCCGAAGTTGGTGTGGGGGCGGCATGCGAACGCAGCCACTGGGGCCTTCGGTGGAGCTCCCTGTGGGGCCACGAAACGTGTGAGGGGGGTGCCGAAATTGGTGTGGGGGCGGCATGCGAACGCAGCCACTGGGCCTTCGGTGGAGCTCCCTATGGTGCCACGAAATGTGTGAGGGGTGTGCCGAAATGGGTGTGGGGGCGCATGCGAACCCAGTCACTGGGGCCTTCAGTGGAAATCCCCATGGGGCCACGAAACGTGTGAAGGATGTGCCGACATGGGTGTTGGGGAGGCATACGAACCAGGCCACTGGGGCCTTCGGCTGAGCTCCAATGGGGCCACGAAACGTGTGTGGGGTGTGCCGAATTGGGTGTGGGTGACGCATGCGGGCGGCAGCACTGGGGCCTTCGGCGGAGCTCCTATGGGGCCACGAAACGTGTGAGGGTTGTGCCGAATCGTGGTGATGATGATGATGATGATGATGATGATGATGATGATGATGCTGATGCTGATGCTGATGATGATGATGATGATGATGATGATGATGATGATGATGATGATGATGATGATGATGATGATGATGATGGGAGGAGGGAGGGGGGGGAGGAGGAGGAGGTGAGGAACGCGGGGCGCCGTCTCTTCAAAACGAGGACCCAACACCACAGGATGGTTGGGAACTATGAACAACTTTCGTCTCGATTTTTTCGAGACGCCCGATGTCTGGGAGCGTCAGCCCAAGGAATCCGTGAGCAGGCGAGCGCGCGCCACTGCTCGCAGAGTGGCTGCTCGCAGATGGCCTGGCATCCGCCCCGGAGGATCAACGGCAGAGTGCAGCAGAGCGAGCATGTGCTTTTCGGTGTAGCCCAAGAAATCCTGTGAGGGCCTCCGAGAGGTCATGCTCGTGCCGTTCTTCGCACTCCGATCCGAGGGCCTCCGAGAGTCTGCGTCTCTGTTCGGCGGCGCGCACAGAGGGAGGTAGGGGGAGTGGGGGGCTTCTTAGGAGGAGGCCGCTTCTCAGAAGGCGCTGGCCCTGCATCTACAGACGAGGCCCGCGCCCCCTGAGAAGTAGGGGTGCTTCAAAGAAGCATCCCCCCCTCCCCCCACCCCCTCAGGAGGCAACTACTGGGAGGTCTCCGTCGGGAGGGTTAAGCCCCGTCGGGGGGGCTGCTACGCCAGATTAAGCCGCATATTCAGCGGGATCAAACTGGATCAAGCGAGATTGAGCCGGACTGAGCGGGGCTAAGCCGAACTCCACCCGATTTCGGACCGGGGCAAAGCCAGAATCTGACCTCCCAGGAACTCCCTCCGAACCCCCCCTCCTGCGGGTGGCCGGGTCTCTGTGCCGATTCCTCCTCTCCGAGCTGAAGCCGGAGCCCCCCAGGAGCGCCTTGGGCGCGCACTAATGGGGGGCGACACACGACCCAGACATCCGACGTCTCGATTTTTTCGAGACGCAGCCCCCGACCTCCCGATCACTTCCCTGGGACCGGTTTTTTCATCCCGAGTCGTTTTTTGACGGTCCCGAGGCCCGGCGAGGGCCCCGAGAGGCCAAAAACTGCGAAAAACCCGTGCCTCGATTCTTTCGAGACGCCCGATGTCTGGGGAGAGGGGGGGGAGAACGGTGCCCTCCTCGGGGCCCCCGAAGGCCCCCCTTCCGGGCCCGAGAGGGCCCCTCTTCGGGGCCCTGCAGGGCCCGTTCTCGGCAGCCCTCGCTGCCCCACGATTCCCTGAGACCCGACGCTGCGGACAAGATGCGGCATCGCAGACGATCGCGACCGCAGCCCCGGGAACGCCACCTAGGGAGCCCACAAAGGACGTACGCGCCCAGCTGTGTACACGAACACGGCCCCTCGATCCGCGAGACCGGCCGCGTTATACGAACATTTGCGCAATGCGTACTCTCGAAGCCAGCGTGGATTCATGTACGTGTACGTCCTTCTGTCGCTCCTGAACCATCTTTTTCCGTGTCATGTTTCGAGCCGTCGATCGCTCTCGGAGGGCCATAGGGGGCCTGGCGCGGAGCGAAGACGCCCCTTGCGCGAAAAAAAGTCGCAGCGCCAGGATCTGGGGTTCCTCGGGAGCGGCCAAGAGGGGGGTGTCCAAGAGGGTGGGGTGCAGATCATGACTGGCGGCACGTGCGCGGCCCAGCGGGGGGCCAGGAACGTAATGAAATAAGAAGAGGCGCCGTGCAGTCTGGGGAAATATCATGGCCCACGCCATGGTATCCCCCTCCCCCCTAGTCATCACCCCCCTCTTTGCCGCCCCCGAGCTCAGTGCCCCCCCATTGCGCGCCCCCCCGCGTGCCAGGGTGAGCGTGCCCGCGGGGCAGGCGGTGCTGCCGCTCCGGAAGTCCTCGCGCGGGGCCCAGGCGACTCTGCGAGGGGCAGCGTTCGGGGGGGGGGGCTCCTCGGGGAGCGGAGGCCGGCGGCACGCCGAGGGGTGGCAGCTTGGGAGCTCCGGGGTCGAGACCGGACGCTTTCGGGCGGTCTCGTCGGCGCTTGCCCGTCTTCCACACTCGGGGTGCATTCCAGCGGCTGCGCCTCGCCGAGAGGCGTCCGGGGGCGCCCGGATTTGTCCCGAACGGCATCCCTGGCGTCCAGGGAGGAGGAGAGGAGAGGAGAGGAGGGGTGAGAGGAGGAGAGGAGGAGGAGGAGAGGAGGAGGAGGAGGAGGAGGAGGAGGAGGAGGGGGGGGGGAGATGAGGTGGAGGAGGGGAGGCGGAGGAGAAGGAGAGGAGGAGAGGAGGAGGGGAGGAGGAGGGAGGAGGAGGAGGAGGAGGAGGAGAAGGAGGAGGAGGAGGAGCCGAACGGCCACCCGATAACCGAGCAAGGACCCCAAAGGCAGGCCATCCCAGAGGAGGCGGCGGGGCGTCGTCGCGGAGGCCCCGCGGCCTTCCGAGGAGGTCCCCCCAAGCAGTGCTGGCACGTGGGGATGTCTTGTGCCGTTTCCATGGAGCTGGGCCTGTGCGGCGGTGTGGCGGCTACGTCAACGCCGTCGCCGCCCCGTCGCCGCCTCGTCGCCGCCCGTCGCCCGGGCCTGGGCGGCAGTCTGGCGGCCACGTTGTCCCCGTCGCCGCCCCGTCGCCGCTTCGCCGCCCGGCGCCTGGGCATGGACTGCACCACACAAATTCTCCTTTCCCCAAAATTATCCCAGTGCGACCCTACCTAGGAGTTGGAGCCCCTAGGAAAGCAGCATTAGTAGTAACAGCAGAGCTAAGCTAAAGCTAAGCTAAAGCTAAGCTATAGCTAAGCTAAGGCTAAGCTAAAGCTAAGCTAAAGCTAAGCTAAATCTAAGCTAAAGCTAAGCTAAAGCTAAGCTAAAGCTAAGCTAACACTAAGCTAACGCTAAGCTAGAGCTAAGCTAACACTAAGCTAACGCTAAGCTAGAGCTAAGCTAACACTAAGCTAACGCTAAGCTAGAGCTAAGCTAAAGCTAAGCTAACGCTAAGCTGAAGCTAAGCTAAAGCTAAGCTGAAGCTAAGCTGAAACCAAGCTAAAGCTGAGCTGAAGCTAAGCTAGAGCTAAGCTAAAGCTAAGCTGAAGCTAAGCTGGCGCTAAGCTAGAGCTAAGCTAAAGCTAAGCTGAAGCTAAGCTGAAGCTAAGCTAAAGCTAAGCTAAAGCTAAGCTAAAGCTAAGCTAAAGCTACGCTAAAGCTAAGCTAAAGCTAAGCTAAAACTAAGCTAAAGCTAAGCTAAAGCTAAGCTGAAGCTAAGCTGAAGCTAAGCTAAGCTGGGTGAACCCAGGGGGCGCAACTGGGGGAACCGCTGGGCGGGGACTGGGGGAACCGCCCGGGGCGATTTCCATTGCCCGGCCCCTTTAAGCTAAGAGAGTAAGAATCCTTCTAGGCAGAGCCTAGGTAGGGAACAAATTCTACCACCCTCCCCCCCTGGACTTAAAGACCCCCTTTTTTCGCATTGCAGTTTACATGTGATTTTGCCCCATCGTCCATCCGAGCTGTGAACTCATGTTATCCCAGCCAAACCGGTATCGACCCCCTTCGTTTCCGTTGCAAGCAAAATACTCTGCGCGCGCACTCGTTGATCAAAAACCACAAATTTCCAATAATCCCGTGCAAAAAAAATGACGAAGTGCACACGCGCGCGTCGTCGCGCGCACGCATGCCGAAATCCTTAATGAACCGTCGGTTTCGGAAGGATTTCAAAATGGAGCTTTTCCAAAACACATACAAAAACACAGGGAGTCGCAACACGGATTTTACAAAAAAACTTACGCGCGCGCTTTTTTTTTTGTAAAAAAAAATCGTTTGTACCTCACGGGCTCCCCGCGCGCGCATGTCGAAATCGTTCGAACGCCCTTGCGCGCCTGCCGTCGCGAGGATCCTCTGCAAAAAACTGGGACGAAGTGCGCGCGCGCGTTGTCGCGCGCGCATGCCGAAATCCTTCGAAAACCTTCGGTTTCGGAAGGATTTCGAAATCGAATGTCCAAATCATACAAACACACATGGCTTCCCAACACGGATGTTCAACAAAAGCGTGCGCGCGCGCTCTTGCGTCGTCGTCGTCGTCGCCGTCGTCGCCGTCGTCGTCCTCTGTCTTTCCTCGTCGTCGTCGTCGTTTTCGTCATTCGCGTCGTCGCCGTCCTCCCTCCTCCCTCGTCGTTGTCGTCGTTGTCGCCGTCGTCGTCCTCCCTCCTCCCTCGTCGTCGTCGTCGCCGTCTTCGTTGGCGACGTCGTCGTCGGCGGCGTCGGTGTCGTCGTCGTCGACTTTGTCGTCGTCGTCGAAGTCGTCGGAGCCGCCGTCGGTGTCGTCGTAGTCGTCGTCGGCGTCGTCGTCGTTGTCGCTGTCGTCGTCGGCGTCGGCTACCGTCACGGTCTTGAGAGGCCTTGCGACCAAATTGCGGGTGGGAGGGTGGGATGTTTGCACGGGCAAACGAAGAGGACATCTTCAAGACAGTCAAAGTGATTTGCACAACAAAGATTCTACCACATAAATTTCCCAAAGTTGATTCTCCTTTCTAAAAACAGAACAGACTCTACCCCCCCGGACTTATCGGCCCTCCCTGGGATAGTACGATTTCACATATATATATATACACACATATAGATATATGTATTCTGCACGCTCGTCCATCCTAAATATGAAATCGTATCATCCCAGCCAGGCCGGGTTCCCCCCCCTGAGGTTCCCTTGTAAAGAACACTATGCGGTGACATTGTTTGTTTCTAACATGACACTTGTTCACGAACCCCTTGCAAAAAACGAGACAAAGTGCGCACGCGCGCGTCGTCGCGCGCGCATGCCGAAATCCTTCGAAAACCTTCGGTGCGGGAAGGATTTCGCAATCGAGCTTCCAAAAAACATACAAAAACACAGGGTTTCGCAACACAGAGTTGCAAAAAAAGCTTCCGCGACAACTCCTGCGAAATCTTAAGAAAACCATAGGTTTTTCAAGATGTTCACAAAATGCTACCAAACGGGCTTTGCGCGCGCTCATGTCGAAATCTGTCGAACGCCCTTGCGCGTGTGCCGTCGCGAAGATCCCCTGCAAAAAATTGGGACGAAGTGCAGACGCGCGAGTCGTCGCGCTCGTATGCCGAAAACCTTCAAAACCCATCGGTTTCGGAACGATTTCAAAATCGTGTGTCCAAACAACCTACAAAAACACAAGGTTTCGCAACAAGGGTTTTCAACAAAAGCGTGCGCGCGCGCTCTTGCGACGTCGTCGGCGTCGTCGCCGTCCTCCTTCCTCCCGCGTCGTTGTCGTCGTCGTCGTCGTCGTCGCCTACGTCGTCCTCTGTCTTTCCTCGTGTTCGTCATCGTCGTCCTCTTTGGCGTCGTGGTCGTTTCCGTCGTCGTTGTCGCCGTGTCGTCCTTCCTCCTCCTCCCTCGTCGTCGTCGTCGTCGTCCGTCGTCGGCGTCTCGTCGTCGTCCCTCCTATTTCGTCGCCGTCGTCGTCGTCGTCGTCGTCGTTGTCGTCGTCGTCGTCTTCCCTCCTCCCTCGTGGTTGCCGTCCTCGGCGTCGCCGTCCTTCCTCCTTCTTCGTCGTTCGCGTCGTCGCCGTCCTCCCTCCTCCCTCGTCGTTGTCGTCGTTGTCGCTGTCGTCGTCCTCCCTCCTTCCTCGTTGTCGTTGTTGGCGATGTCGTCGTCGTCTTCGTCGTCGTCGTCGTCGGCGTCGGCGTCGTTGTCGTCGGCGGCGTCGTCGACGTCGGCGTCGTCGTCGTCGCCGCCGTCGTCGCCGTCGTCGTCGTCGTCGTCGGCGTCGTTGACGTCGTCGTCGTCGTCGGTGTCGTCGTTTTCGTCGTCGTCGGCGTCGTCATCGTCGTCGTCGTTGTCATCGTCGTCGTCGTCGGCGTCGGTGTCGTCGTCGTCGTCGTCGGTCGTCGTCGTCGTCGTCGTTGTCGGCGTCGTCGAAGTCGTTGGAGACGTCGTCGGTGTCGTCGTAGTCGTTGTCGGCGGCGTCGTCATCGTCGTTGTCGCTGTCGTCGTCGGCGTCGCTGTTGTTGCCAAGTGCCATGTGGTACCCACCGTCACGGTCTTAAGAGATTTTGCAAACCAAGTTGCGGGTGGGTGGGTGGGAAGTTTGCGCGAGCAGTGGAGTGGACAACTCACTGCAAACAGAAATTAAATGCACCGCGTAGATGGTCCTTTCTAAAAAGTGTGTGTATATATATATATGTGTGTGTGCCACCCCCGGCTTATGTTTATCGGCCCACCTGTTCGAATTTCAATGTACACATGATGCTGCCCCATCGCCCGTCGTAAATATGAACCCACACCATCCTAGCCGGGCTGGTATCGACCCTCCCCCCCCGCCATCCTCTGCACAAATACTATATGCGCGCACTGGTTGATCACAAATCATCGGTTTTCCAAGATCCGTTGCAACAAATAAAACGAAGCGCAAACGCGCGAGTCGTTGCGCGAGCATGCCGAATTCTGTGCCTTCGCAGTCGGACGGATGTCAAAATCGAGCGCCCCAGAAACATATAAAACACATGGTTTCGCAACGCGGGTTATCAAACAACGTGCGCGCGCTCTTGCATAATCTTACGAAAACCATTGGAACATATTCGGAACATACTACCCAACGGGCTTCGCGCGCGCATGTCCAAATCGTTCGAACGCCCTTGCGCGCGTGCCGTTGCGAGAATCCTTTGCAACAGATGAGAAGAAGTGCACACGCGCGCGTGGTCGCGCGCGCAAGCCAAAATCCTTGCAATACCTTCGGGTTCGTAGCGATTCCAAAATCGAATGCCCCAAAATCATTCAAAAACACAGCGCTTCGCAACAACAGTTAAAACAACTAGCGCGCGTTCTTGGGAATTCTTGACAAAACCCTTGGTGTTCCAACATTTTCATGGGATTATGCCAAACGGGCCTCTGGCGCCGCAAGCCGGCATCATTCGCACGCCCTTGCTCGCGTGTTGGGGGGGAGGGCACGATCACTGTCAAGTAAAGCCATGCGGGCCACTCTCGAGCGTCGGCCGCGCGCGCATGTCGAACTCTGTCCAAAACTTTCATCGCCGACGCGAGGACGCCGTCATCGTCGTCGGCGTGATCCGCATCGGCGCCCGCACTGGCCTCGCCCAAGTCGCCGACTCGCACTGAAGTGCACGCTGGGATGCGTTCAGTGGTCAGCGCCTCCAGGGCCGCGTCGGCGGCGCCAAAAAGGCTGGCCGCTGCGCGCGCGTGCTAGGGTTGGCACGGCCGCAGAGATGCACCAGGCAACGCCAAGCATGCATCGCAATCGCCACCGCATGTATATTGCATACCAAATTGCGGGTGGGTGGGTGGGTGGGATGTTTGCAAGAGATGGGATGTGTCAAACCGTGGGTAAATCATGTGTTTTTGTTTTTTTCTACCCCCCCCCCGGCGGGATTAACGGGCCACCTTTTCGTATGGCAATTTACATAAAATTCTGCCCCATCGTCCATCCGACATGTGAATTCATACTATCCCAGCAAAGCCGGTATCGCCCCCCCCCACCATCCTCTGGAAAACAAAAACCGCGCGCACACTCGTTGATCAACAATCATAAATGTTCACGAATCCTTTGGGAGAAAAGCACGAAGTGCACACGCGCGCGTCGTCGCGCGCGCATGCCACAGTCCTTCAACAACCTTCGATTTCGAACGGGATTCAAACATCGAGTGTCCAACAAAAACCTACAAAAAAAACACAAGGTTTCGCAACACGGTTTTCCAACAAAAGCGTGCGCGCGCGTTCCTGCGTCGTCGTCGTCGTCGTCGCTATCCTCCCTCCTCCCTCGTCGTCCTCGTCGCCGTCGTCGCCGTCGTCGCCCTCTGTCTTTCCTCGTCGTCGCCGTTTTGGCGTCGTCGTCGTTTCCGTCGTCGTTGTCGCCGTGGTCGTCCTTCCTCGTCGTCTTCGTCTGCGTTTCGTCGTTGTCCCTCCTATTTCGTCGCAGTCGTCGTCGTCGTCGTCCTCCTCCTCGTTTTCCCGTCTCCCTCGTCGTTGTCGTCGTCGGCGTCGCCGTCCTCCCTCCTTTTTCGTCGTTCGCGTCGTCGCCATCCTCCCTCCTCCCTCGTCATTGTCGTCGCTGCCGCCGCGGTCGTCCTCCCTCCTCCCTCGTCGTCGTCTTCGTTGGCGACGTCGTCGTTATCGTCTTCGTTTTCGTCTTCGTCGTCGTCGGCGTCGTCGTAGTCGTCGTCGTCGTCGTCGTCGTCGTCGTTGTCATCGTCGTCGTCGTCGTCGGTGTCGTCGTCGTTGTCGGCGTCGTCGAAGTCGTTGGAGACGTCGGCGGCGTCGTCGTCGTCGTTGTCGCTGTCGTCGTCGGTGTCGTTGCCAAGTGCTGTTTGGTACCCACCGTCACGATCTTAAGTTTTGGGTTTTGCAAACCAAGTTGCGGGTGGGTGGCTGGGATGTTTGTGCGAGCAGTGGAGTGGACAACGCACTGCGAACATGAATCAATCCTCCTTAAAAAAACAGAATAGGATCTATCCCCCCCTGGCGTTATCGCCCCCCTTTCGAATATGTAAACCATATACGATTATGACCACATGTCCATCCTAAATATGAAGTCGCAATGTAAAATGCCAATCGGTATCCCCCCCCTCGGAGGTTCCTTTTGTAAAAAACCAACTATGCGGTGACATGGTTTGTTTTAACATGGCACTTGTTCGCGGATCCCTTGCAAAAAAAGGACGAAGTGCACACGCGCGCGTCGTCGCGAGCGCATGCCGAAATCCTTCAAAAACCTTCGGTGCCGGAAGGATTTCGCAATCGAGTTTCCCCCCCAAAAAAACATACAACAACACATGGTTTCGCAACACTGATTTGCTAAAAAAGCTTCCGCGCGAGCTCTTGCGAAATCTTACGAAAACCATGGGCTTTCAAGATTTTCACAAAATGCTACCAAACGGGATTCGCGCGCGCGCGCATGTCGAAATCCGTCGAACGCCCTTGCGCGTGTGCCGTCGCGAGAATCCTCTGCCCAAAAAAAACGAAGTGCAGACGCGCGCGTCGTCGCGCGCGTATGCCGAAATCCTTGAAAACCCATCGGTTTCGGAAGGATTTCAAAACCGTGTGTCCAAACAACCTACAAAAACACAAGGTTTCGCAACAGGGATTTTTAACAAAAGCGTGCGCGCGCGCTCTTGCGTCGTCGTCGTCGTCGTCGTCGCCGTCCTCCCTCCTCCCGCGTCGTCGTCGTCGTCGCCTACGTCGTCCTCTGTCTTTCCTCGTGTTCGTCGTCGTCGTCCTCTTTGGCGTCGTGGTCATTTCCGTCGTCGTTGTCGCCGCGGTCGTCTCCCTCGTCGTCGTCGTCCGTCGTCGGCGTCTCGTCGTCGTCCTTCCTATTTCGTCGCCGTCGTCGTCGTCGTCGTCGTCGTCTTCCCTCCTCCCTCGTCGTTGTCGTCGTCGGCGTCGCCGTCCTTCCTCCTTTTTCGTCGTTCGCGTCGTCGCCGTCCTCCCTCCTCCCTCGTCGTTGTCGTCATTGTCGTCGTTGTCGCCGTCGTCGTCCTTCCTCCTCCCCTGTCGTCGTGTTCGTTGTCGTCGTCGTCTTCGTCGTGGTCGGTGTCGTTGTCGTCGTCGAAGTCGTCGGAGACGTCCTCGGTGTCGTCGTAGTCGTTGTCGTCGGTGTCGTCGTAGTCGGTCTGCAGAGGTTTTGCAAACCAAGTTGCGGGTGGGTGGGTGGGATGTGTGCAAGAGCGCGGGATGTGTCAAATCATTGGTAAAATCAATTGCGCCGCATAGACTGCACCACGTGGACTGCGCCGCATGGCATTGCTTCACATAGGTTTTCCTTGATAAAAAAAGGAGAATACACGCTACCCCTCCCCCCCCCCAGAAAAAAATAAACAACTTAACGGGTCACCGCCTCGTGTTGCAAGTTACGTATGATTCATCACACTCGTCCATCCTAAATATGAACTCGTAGTAGCCCAGCCAAACAGGCATCGCCCCCCCCCCCCCCCCCCCGCCATCATCTGCAAAACGCACTACGCGCGCACCCTCGTCTTTTTTTCAACAAAAAGCCATAATTTTCCCATAATCCCTCTGCAAAAATTCCACAACGCAATCACGCGCGCGTCCACATCAAGATCGTACCAAACGCCATGCGTTTGCAAGCATTTCATCGAAAACATATTCAAAAACCGAAAAAGGTTTTGAAACACAAAATGCGCACGTTTCCTGTCCGCGCGCCCATGCTAAAATCATACAAAAATATGCTTATGAATTCCGCCAAATCCAACGATTTCATGTCGCCGCGCGGTGCACCCGCGGCACTCCTGTCATGCGCCGAAGGCGCGAATCCCTTGCAAAAAAAAAAAAAAAAAAAAAAAAAAAAAAAAAAAAACGCGGGCCACACGCGTGCACCGCCGCGCGCGCATGATCAGTCTGACGGAGTTGCTGAACTTCCGCGCGCGCGGATTTCTTTATCAACCTTGTCAGCACCACCGCGACCACCTGCCTCATCGACAAGTGGACACCAGCATCGCCAACGTGTTTGCCATCGTTGACGCCGTTCTCGTTCGTGCCGTCGGCCTGTTGAACATCGTCGTCGCTGGTGCCATCTTCGTCATTGTCGCAGACGTTGCCGGCGCCATCTTGTCATCGCGCACGTCCGAGTATCGTCGATATGCTCACATCCATCATCGGCGCACGGTGACGAGCATCAGCAATGAGGATGTTATCATGGATGTCGTCATCGGTGGCGCCGCCGTCCCCCGCATCATGAGTTTGGCCAAACAAATTGCGGGTGAGAGGGTGGGATGTTTGCGCGAGCAGTGGAGGTGGTCAAACGCGGTGCACTACATAGACCACACCACATGTTTGCACAACATAGATTGCACAACATGGATCACACCACATAGATTGCTCAATACATCTTGCACAATTTAGATTGCTAGTAACACACTGTTTAGGGCCCCCCGCTGGCTAACATTTTTCTGCGTCCTAGGGGAAGGCTTCCGAGCCTTCCGAGAAGGCCCGCCCGTTCTCACTTCGCCTCCGGTTGGCCGCCGAAAAAACAGCAAAGGCACAATTGCTCTGAGGTCCGCGGGGATTTCTTGGATCAGCGGCGCCCCATGCGCCGCCAGGGTGCCAACGCCAATCCGATAAATCCGCGGGGGCCCCGAGAAATTATGTTCATGCCGTTTTTTTCTTCGAGAACCAGCTCTTTTGGGGGAATCGGGGAAACATCGGGCCCCCGATAGCCAATCCGCAAGATCCCGGGCGGGGCGGGCTATCGGGTCCCTATCGGCGATGATTGGGCGCCTTGGGGATTGATGCATCCTCCCGTGAGCCTATCACCCCCTAACGTTGCCCCTGATGACTCGTATGCACGGGCTGACGGAAGAGAATGTCCGGCGCATGCTCCTGCTGTCCACGGGCACGTCGAGCGTGGCGGACAGCTCTCGGCTACGGTTCAGGGGTACGTTGAAGCTGGCGACGCCGATCGATGCCAAACTGTCTGCAGGCATGAGGTTGACCGACACGAAGGGCGACTGGCGATCTTTGACCCAATCGGTACCCAGAGGCAGATGATTCTCGGCACGGATCTGTGCGGTGATGCCCTGCGCCCTCTTGAAATCCCCGTCCGCCTCTTTGAAGGCCGTCGCGATCTGCCCAACGGGCACGACCAAGCAGCAGCCCTTGAGGATGCCCAGGAAGAGGACAAGAAAAAAAGATGCGTCCCCCTTCGGAATCTGGCCCCCCGCCAACAAGCTGCCGTGCATGTTACAGAGGCGCCCAATCACCCAATACACTGACGTGGAGACGGAGTCGAATGTCCACCTGCAATGAATCTTTGGGCCGTCGGGGTTCTCGGGGTCCTCGCACTTGCCGTTCTCCTCTTCCATCATGTTCAGGACAGTGCCGACCACGGTGGCGATGATGAGGATCCAGATCACCAAGACGACAAAGGAGTTGAGGCTCCTGCGTATCGTCTCGCCGAGTACCTGCAGAGTCTCGCTGAAGGTCCCCGCCTTCAGCAGCCGAACGACCCTGAAGATCCGCAGGATGCGCAGGAATCCCAGCTTGAGGCCAGACTCGGCCCCAAAGGTATCCACCCACAGGGGCAAGATGGACGCCAGGTCCACGATGTTCATCGGGGCCAGGAGGTGGCTCAACAGGCGTTGCTGCTTCGTCGTCTCTCGTGGCTGGAGCTCGCTGCTCTCGGAGTCGGGCACGACCTTCTCCACGAGGATGTCGATGTTGGCCAGCGCGACGCGAACGTACGGTGAGCAGATGAGCTTCACCAGGTAGTCGAAGGTGAAGATGACGACGATCGCCGTTTGGAGGCCCAACCCCTGCAGCCCCTCGTACATAATCGCCGCGATGCTCGTCAGTATCATGATAAAAGAAAACACTGACCAGAAGAGTCCCAGATACGAGCCGCCGTTGTCCAGGTCGCCCTCCCCCTGCATGACGCTGTTCACACGCTCCAGGGGGTGCCGCGTGAGGACAACGCTCATCTTGGATTCGCCGCCCTCCAGCACGCCCCGCATGTCTTCCCACGTGACCCACGGCTTCTCGAAGATCTCCATGGGGTCGAACAGCATCTCTGTCGAGCCGAGGGCATCCGACAGCCTGCGGCAAAGCCGATACAGCATCGCCACGTGGATGCGACGATCGCTCGTCATGTAGTGGAGCCTCTCTGCCCTGTCGAACACCTTCCTGTGGAAGAGCAGAAACAGCAAACACACATAAGATCTCCCAACTCCGCGCGGAGTTCTTGCATCGGCGCTGCGCCCCCCCTCCCCCAGCGCGCGGAGCGCACCAGGGGCGGCGCCGCAGGCGCCGCCGGGTGGCCCCAGCGCCGATCCAAGAAGACTGCGCGGAGCTCTGAAATGTATGTTCACGCCGCTTTTTCTTCCCCGGCTTCCTGTAGAAGAGTGGGCCCAGCACCTGCGAAGGGGCAACGTGAAGGGGGAGAACAGGCTCAAGAGGGGGAAACAGCGACCTGGAGTCGGATCGGCGAGAAGCGAGAAGCCCCTGATAGGCATATCCAGTCCCGGGCGGTTGGCTATCAAGCCTCTATCGGTGATTCACGGGCGAGTAGGGGTACACGGTTTCCCCTGGGGCCGCAGGCCAACCGAGGAGGAGGAGGATGAGGAGGAGGAGGAGGAGGAGGAGGGAGGAGGATGAGAGAGCATGAGGAGAGGGGAGGAGGAAGAGGAAGGAGAGGAGGAGGAGGAGAGGAGAGAGGAGGGAGGAGGAGGAGGAGGAGGAGGAGGAGGAGGAGGAGGAGGAGGGAGGAGGTGGAGGAGGAGGAGGGGGACGGGTCGCCTAAGCCATTCGGAGCTGCCCTCCTGCATCCCCCCTCTGAGCCAATCGCCCCCTGACGTTGCCCCATGTCCTTTGGCCCACAAGTCAGCTCTCTGGCGGCCGCTCTGGGCCATCAGGGCGCCCCCAAGCGCCTCTCGGCGAGGCGCAGCCGCTGGAAAGCATCCCGAGGCTGGAAAGCCGCCGAGAAACAACGGAAACGTCCAGAAACATTCGAACAACGCGCCTTTGGGGCCGATGCCCAGGAAGCCTCCTTCTCCTCATCTTCTTATTGTTATGATTCTTCTTGTTGTTAATATTCTTCGTTGTCTGAATATTATTGATAGGATGATGACTGTTCTTTGTATGTTTAACTGTTGTTATTATTAGCATTATCAGTATTATTAATATTAATACTATTACTAATATCAGTATTATTAGTATTATCGTTAGCTTCATTACTATCAGTATTACTACGATTACCATTAATATTACTATGCGACTAGTATGATCAGTATGATTACTAGGATGATGGTGGTTATTAGTAGTAGTATTATTACTCATATTATTAATAGTGTTAGTAGTAGTAGTAGTAGTAGTAGTAGTAGTAGTAGTAATGGTAGTAGTAGTAGTAGTAGTAGTAGTAGTAGTAGTAGTAGTAGTAGTAGTAGTGAGTAGTAGTAGTAGTAGTAGTAGTAGTAGTAGTAGTAGTAGTAGTAGTAGTAGTAGTAGTAGTAGTAGTAGTAGTAGTAGTAGTAGTAGTAGTAGTAGTTAGTAGTAGTAGTAGTAGTAGTAGTAGTAGTAGTAGTAGTAGTAGTAGTAGTAGTAGTAGTAGTAGTAGTAGTAGTAGTAGTAGTAGTAGTAGTAGTAGTTAGTAGTAGTAGTAGTAGTAGTAGTAGTAGTAGTAGTAGTAGTAGTAGTAGTAGTAGTAGTAGTAGTAGTAGTAGTAGTAGTAGTAGTAGTAGTAGTAGTAGTAGTAGTAGTAGTAGTAGTAGTAGTAGTAGTAGTAGTAGTAGTAGTAGTAATAGTAGTAGTAATATTATTATTCGGATTATTAATCGTCTTCGCCTTCGTCTGCTTAGTATTATAATTGTGCTTCCGCTTATGTTCATGCCTCTGCTTCTTCTGTTCCTGCGTATGCTTATTCTGCTTCTGATTATGATTATGTTTCTGCTTATGCTTATGCTTCTGCTTCTGTTTCTACTTATGCTTCTGCTTCTGCGCCTGCGTCTGCGTCTGCTTCTGCTTCTGTTTCTGCTTATGTTTCTGGTTTTGCTTATTCCTCCTCCTCTTCCTCCTCCTCGGCGCCAGCGCCGCCGCCCCGGTGCGCCTCCGCCAGCGCCGCGCCGCGCGCCTCCAGCCAATCCGGCGCCCCCAACGCCCAGCCCGGGGGGCCGGCCTCGGGCGGGCAGTGCGTCGGTCAGCCGCTCAGCGTCTCAGGGGGCGCGCCCGGGCGGCCACGCCGAGGTGTTGTGCGCCTCGGCGTTGGCCCGCTGCAGCGCGGCGGCCAGGCTCGAGCCGGCGCGCCGCCGAGAGCTCGGCCCCGTCGCTGGCCGCCCAGGTGCGCGGGAGGTCCTGCGTCTCGCGCCCTGGCCTGCCCAGCGTCTCCAGCGCGAAAGAGCGCAGCGCCGCGCCGGGGCAGCGGCGGCGCTTGCGCTCCTCCTCCGCTGCGGCCGCCGCGGCCCCGGCGCGCCGAGCCCGGCCCCGCCCCGCCGGCGTCGCGGCCCAGGCGGCCGCGCCCGCCACCACAACGTCCACGTACATGGCGCCCGCCACCGGGCCCACGTAGGTCACGCCCAGCCGCGCCGCCTCGAGCGGCCATCCTGGAGGACCCTGTCCCAAGCAGGGGCGAGCTGCAAGGTCCCCGCGCCCCTCGCTCCGCGCCACTTGAGCCAACCTGCTAGCCAATCGCGGATGGCGCTGCGGGGCGCGATCGCGCCCGCGCCAGCGCGGCAGCCCAGGGGGTGTGGGCCCCGAGCGAGGTCCGCTCCGCAGAGTTGCCCATCGGCGCGGCGGCTCTGGCAAGTGGCGCAGGCGTCAGCCGCAGGCCTCGGGGGGCGGAGGCGCAGCGCCAGCGCTGGCAGGTAGCGCTCGTCCGCCAGGCGGTGGTCGTCCTGCGTCGGCGGGAGGAGCCAGCTGCCAGCCCCCTTCCCGCTCGCCGAGCGCAGCTGGGCAGCTTGCTCCGGTGGCAGCGCCGCCAGGAGCCGCTTCCGGCCCTCGTCCCGTTCGTGGCGCGCGAGCTCCTCCTGCGCCTTCAGCTCGGGCTCCGCCGCGGCCGTGAGCCACTCGTCAGCGCCGAGCCGGAGCGCGTTGCCGGCCTGCTCGGCCGCGGCCCAGAGGTCGGGGCAGCTCGAGGCGAAGGCGCCCAAGTGGGCCTCGCCCAGCCCCCGCCGGACGTCCGCCGGGCAGCCGAGCCAGGAGCTGGCGAAGGCGGCGATCCTGCGCTGGGCAATGCTGCGCGCGCACGCACAGCCCCCCCTCCGCCAGGGGGGGGAAAAAGCTGCCCCCGCGCGACTGGCGGCAGTGGTCGCCCGAGCCGGCTTTTAGGTGCCCCGCCACCCTGAGCCCTGGCACCATTCCTCGCTGAGGAGGTGCGCCCGCGCGCGGCGCAGCGCCGAGGGCCACCTCGTCCTGCGCCTCGAGCGCGTGCGCCCGCAAGCCGCGCAGCTTCCCGAGGTGGGCGGTCAGGTGCTCGGTCGGCGCCGCGGGGGCCGCCGTCGGCGCGAAGCTTGCCCCAGCTGGGTCGGCGCTGATCGAGCCCCTGCAGCCGCTCCGCCGCACACGAGCGGCAGGAGCGTCTCGAGGCGCTGCATTTGCGGCGCGACCTTCCCGGCCAGGCACGCCGGTAGCTGCAGGCCCCAAGGGGCCCACACCTGCGTCTTTGCCGCATCGGCCCTAAGGGGGGCTCACTCGGCCGAAGGCGGCGGGGGCGGCGGCGCGCGCTGTCTCCACCGCCGCCGGCGTTGCCTCGAGGTAGCTGTCGCCCAGGTAGGCCAGCGGGCGCGCCTCGGGGTCGACCGCGGCCGCTGCCTCGAGGGCGAGGCGCACAACCGCCACGGCGATGGCGAAGAAGGCGGGGGACAGCGGGCAGCCTTAGTCAAGGCCGCGCTCCGCGCGCACTGGCTCGACCCCCCCTCCCTGCAGGCGCGCGCCGTGGGCCGTGGCGCCTCCATGCTCGCGGCCGCCACTCCAGCCAGCGCAAGGGGCTTCCCCGCCACCGCCTGCAGCATGGCGCCCCGGTCGACCTCGTCGTTCGACGTGTCCAGCTTGAGCAGAAACTGCCCAGCGACTTTTCCACGGCGCCGGCGACCGCCCGCTGCACGATCTCAGCGCCGTTCTTCCGGCCCGCGCCGAATTGCCGAGGCCCCGCCGCCGCGATGTCGTTCTTGCGAGCGTCGGTGGCAGCCTTGCCCGCCATGCGCCAGAGGGTCTCGCCACGCGCTATACTGGGCGGGCGCCCGCGGGCGGCTTGCGGCATCTGGCCGCCCAGGATCAGCTCCAAAGCGCGCGCGGCGACCTCTGGCCCATCCAGGCGCCCGCGGAGCGCCGCCCAGTGCTCGAACCGCGCCCCCGTCAGGCCCGGTCCCGAGTGCCTCGGGAACTTGTTCAGGGCCCCGGCAATCTTGGTCGTCGCCGCCTCCCCCTCCCAGATCGTCGGAGCCACCTGGGGCAAAGGGCCGCGGGGGCCGGCCGCGGCGGGGAACAACTGGGCCAGCTGGTTTGCCACGCCCGCGCCCGTTGCCAGCCGAGTCGGCCCAGCCGCAGTCGCAGCCGCCCGGCTGACCTCACCCAGCATGATGAGCTCGTGCGCGCGGCGAGCTTGGGCCTCCATGCTGCGCTGCGGCTGCGCCGCGCCCGTCTCCCGCTCGCCTGGGCGCGCGGACTCGGCCCACAAGGTGGCCCAGTCCCCCGCCCATGCCTTGCGCAAGCGGTTCGCCACCACCTTGGTCGCGGAAACGCGGTCGTCGTTGTTTTCGGAGCGCGGCGGGGTAGCGAAGAGCAGCCGCGGGAGCATAAGGAGCTGCACCCAAGCCCCCTCGTCGCCTGGCCGAGCCGCCACGGCGCGTCACGCGGCCGTCAGGATGTCGCCGACGGCCGCTTCCAAGCTGAGCGGGACGGCGGCCCGCGTCGGCACCGGCTCCACGAGCGCCGCGTACAAATCAAACTGGGACCACCAGGCGTGACCTGGTAGCTCCCCATCCTCGGCGGCCGCAACATGGCGCGGCGGGACGTCGTGGACGGGCGCGTCGTCCCTGGCCTCCTCGGCGGCGGGCGCCAGGTCTGGGGCGACGCAAGCCAGCACCTGCCCCCGGGCATGCTCCGGCAGCGCGGCCAATCCCTGCACGCTGCCCCGGGGGATGCCTCCCGGGACACACCGAGGGTGGCGACAGTGCCCGTCGGGGCGCGCCGTGCTCGCCAGCCGCACCTCCTCCGGCTCGACACCCGTGCAACACAAGACACAAACCGCCACTCGCTTGCGTCGAGGCTGGAGGCTTGCCCCCCAGGTCCGCACTCGCACCCCGCCATGCGCCCCAGAGGCAACGGCAGGCGGCGGAGGCGGCGCAGCAGCGGCAGCAGCGGCAGCAGCGGCAGCAGCGGCAGCAGTGCCTGCGGCGCCCCCCGGGGCAGCAACGGCGCGGGGTGCGCCGCCAAGTTGGGCTGCTCCGGAGGGCGCGGCAGCGGCCGCTCCGTCCCTGTCCTGCATCTCGTCGTTCCTGTTCTGCATCCCCTCGTTCCTCTCTGGCCCTCCTCCCTCGACGTCCATCTCCATGGCCCCGGAGTTGGGAAGGGAGGTGCAGGGGGTGAGTAGGTGGGATGGGCAGGTGAGGAGGGCCCGGCCGGGCAGTGGCTGCGGTGAGTCGAGCCTCCTTGAGCCCTCCTCCTCCTCCTCCTCCTCCTCCTCCTCCTCCTCCTCCTCCTCCTCCTCCTCCTCCTCCTCCTCCTCCTCCTCCTCCTCCTCCTCCTCCCTCCTCCCCTCCCCTCCCCCTCCCCCTCCCCCTCCCCCTCCCCCACCCCCTCCCCCTCCCCCTCCCCCTCCCCCACCCCCTCCCCTCCCCCCTCCCCCCCCCCCCCCTCCGTCCCCGTCCCTCCACCTCCCCCTCCTCCTCCTCCTCCTCCTCCTCCTCCTCCTCCTCCTCCTCCTCCTCCTCCTCCTCCTCCTCCCCCTCCCCCTGAGCTCATCCCCCCGCGGCGCTGCCCCGGAACCTGCTGGCTCGGGGGCAGCATGCCGCCCCGGTGCGCCGGCGGCCCGGGCGCCGCCGCGCCATCCTGGAGGCGCCCGGGGAGGCCCACATCCGCCGACCCCGTCGGCGCGTGCGAGGCCCAGACAGCGGGCGCCTCGAAAAAATCGAGGCAGAGGTTTTTCCAATTTTTTGGCCTCTCGGGGCCCTCGCCGGGCCTCGGGATCGTCAAAAAACGGCTCGGGAGGAAGAACTGGTCCCAGGGAAGTGGTCGGGAGGTCGGGGGCCCGCGTCTCGAAAAAATCGAGAGGTCGGATGTCTGGGGAGGCCGCTTCGTTTGACTCGTCGTCGTCGTCGCCGTCGCCGCTCCCCCTTCTTCCCTGGGCACTCCTCCCCGAGCGCGCCGGCCAAAGCGAGATTGTGGAATCGACAGGAAGCCCCTTCCCCAGGATCCCTTCCCCGCCGGGGGGAGGGAGTTCCGGGAGCCGAATGGGCCCCCCCTCCCGAGGCTCCCACGAGGCCCTCGGGCGCCTCCAACAAGCCGCCAGGAAGCCCCAGGAGGCTCCCAAAAGGCTCCCAAGACACCCCCAAACCTTCTCGCCAGAGGCCCCCGAGAGTGCTGCGAAGAGACGTCAAGAAGCGTCTGGTCCCTCCTCTTTAAAGGAGCCAGCCAAAGTGAAACTGGGCAACGTCGTAATTGAATCGACGGGAGGCCCTTTCCATAAGATCCCTCCCCCGCCTGGAGGGGTTCTGGGAGGGCTGGGGGGATCTGGGGGGGGGGATTGCGAGTCAGAACACCCGCCCCAGGAGGCCCCCCAAAGGCTCCCAAGACACCCCCAAAACTTCGTGACGGTTCTTGAGCACCTTGGGGGGCCTCGTGGAACCTCTTGGGCCTTGGGTCAGGTCGGGCGTGTCCTCCTACAGGGGGGTTTTGGACGAAACATAAAAGAATCGAATCATACTCAAAGATGGTCAAAAAATACTGGGAAATCGTCACCTGACTATTTGTTACTATTTTGGAATATTCCTCCTGTAGAGGGACCGGCCCGACTTAAAACTTGGGCACTCTTGGGAGCGTCTGATCCCGACCTTCCGAATGCCTCTTCCACTGTGGGGGTCGTCGTTCACGGTCGGCGGCACTGGCCGTGAGGCCGTAAGACCTTAGTAGTACACATGCACATCCAGGATTCCATATTGCTCCATATGTTCTGGATGTTCGTCAAACCACCCACTCTTCCAAATGTTCCCATATTTTCTTGGGAATCGACGCTCGTGTGTGTGTGTGTGTGTCAGAGTTTAATGATTTGCCTGGCGGCGAGCCTGGGGGGAAGAGAGAAGGGGCGCCCTTTCTCGGAAGGCTCGGAAGGCCCCGGGCTTATTCTGAGAAGTTCTTTGAGCCGTCCCGTCCCCGAAGACACAGACCACTTCTCAGAAGGCCCGAGCGCTTCTGAGAAGCCCCGCCGCCTTCTGAGAGGGCCTCCTCCCAAGACATCTGGCTGCTGCTCCAAGGAGGACTGGACCACTTCTCGAGGGCCGGTTTTTCGTCTGGAGTCGTTTTTTACGGTCCCGAGACCCGGCGAGAGCCCCCAGAGGCCGAAAACGGTCCAAATCCCGCCGTCCCAATTTTTGCTCGGAGCGTCGGAACTCTCAGCTCCATCTCACTTCCCCCCCTCGCTCGCCGCCGAAATTTTCCCCTCCTGACACAGAAGAGGAAGAAACAAACACATAAACAGAAACTTTTGGCGCTCCGCGCGGATTTCTTGGATCCGCGCCGGAGCCCCCTCCCTGGCGCGCGGAGCGCGCCAGGGGCGGCGCCGGAGGCGTCGCTAGGGGGGGCCCAGCGCGGATCCAAGAAGTCCATGCGGAGCGCCAAAAATTTCTGTTTGTGTGGCTGTTTCTTCTTCGATGGCGTCCTCCTCCCTCACGACGAACACGGGCCGCCGCTGGGTGGTCATCGAGGCCGCGGGCCAGCTGGAGGAGGGGGACTGCGCGCCCCTGAGGCCAGCGGACCTGAGCCGAGGTGGCAGCGGGCCCCGTCGGGAGGCCCCCTCGGCAGCGGGCGCTCCTCCGCCGAGATCCTGGCGCTGCACTGTGTGCACAAGCGGTGCCCCGCGTCGGGTCCCCCGGGACCCTCGCAGATCGAGGCAGCTCGACAAACAAGGCAGAAGGATATGGGGTCTGGGGCTCTGGTCGTGATTTCTGTTTGCGATGCTGCACATTCTTCGCCACGTCGAATCTCAGGGTCCTCCTCCTCCTCCTCCTCCTCCTCCTCCTCCTCCTCAGGAGCTGCGGGGCGGGGGGGGGGAGGTGGAGCCTCCCTTGCGCCGGCCAAATCTCAGCCATCTCCTGGTGGGACCTGGCACGGCTTGGGCAACTGAGCCCTTGGGGGTCTGGCTTGGCTGGACCCTGGGTGGCCTGGCTCGGGGGGCCTCTTGGCCTCTTTGCGCTCGTGCTGTTCCCGTGTGCGGGGCGGTTCTTCCACCCATCGGCGCGGGGCGGCGGGGCGTTTGCACTGCGGAGAGGGGGCGCTGCCCCATGTAGTCAGCACACTCAGTGCCCCCTCCTCCTCCTCCTCCTCCTCCTTCTTCTCCTTCTCCTCCTCCTCCTCCTTCCCTTACATCCCTCTCCTCCTCATCCTTTAACTTCTCCTCCTCGCCTCGCTCTCCTCATGCCTCTCCTCTTCCCCACCCTCCTCGTCCTCCTCCTCCTCCTCCTCCTCCTCCTCCTCCTCCTCCTCCTCCTCCTCGTCTTGCCTCCTGCCTCCTCCTCCTCCTCCTGCTCCTCCTCCTCGTCCTTCTCCGCCTTCGCCTGCTTGCTCCTGCCCCTCCTCCCCCCCCATGCAGGGAAGGGAACAACAAAAACGGCAGAAGCATGAGCTCTCGGAGCTCCGCGCGGACTTTTTGGACGGGCGCTGGAGGCGCCGCCGGGGGGGCCCCGCGCAGGTCTGACCAACGCGCGCGGAGCTCCGAAGTATTGGTGCTTCTGCCGTTGTCTCTTCATCGACTCGCGGGGCGCTCTTGTGTGGACGCCCGACATGGGCACGGGAAGAATGGGTGCAATATGCCCAACAGCAGTTCTTGTTCACTTTGAACAGGGCTCGTTGTCGGCGTCGCCGCGGCCTGTGTCCATCTGAGACAGAGGGCCGCCTGCCCAACAGCGGCCGCTGTCGGTTTGGGACAACAGTTGTTGTTGGGCATTGTACCCATTCTTTCCGTGCCTATTTCGGGCGTCCAAATCTCGGGAGCGGCCAAGAGGGGGGTGTCCAAGAGGAGGGGGTGCAAATCATGACCGGCGGCATGTGCGCGGCCCAGCGGGCGGCCCAGGGACGTAATGAAACAAGGGGAGATATCATGGCCCACGCCATGATATCCACCCCCCCTAGTCATCACCCCCCTCTTTTCCGCCCCCGACATTTCGGGCGTCCAAATCGTGGGCCGTCTCGGGCTGCGCCAGGGCGGCGTTGGGCCCTCCTCGGGGCCGCGCGGGCCGCCTGGGGTGGCCGCGCGAGAGCCGGCACCTGAGGCGCAGGGTGGCCGCCTCTGGGCTCGGGGGGCCTCCCGCGGGAGCTCCCAGAGGCGGAGGCGGCCAGGAGCGCACGCGCGAGGGCGCCCAGGCGCGGGGGCGCCCAGGCGCGGGAGCTCCGATTTCGTCGTCGAGCTCCGATTTCGTCGAGCCCAGAGCTCCGACTTCGTCGTCGAGCTCCGACTTCGTCGAGCTCCGAGTTCGTCGTCGGCCGCTTTCGTCGTCGAGCTCCGATTCCGTCGAGCCCAGAGTCGAATCGAGGAACCGAATCGGCGATCGAGGTGAGTCGGATCGGCAGAAATCGGCAGCCCAGTCGGGAGAGACCGACTCGGCGGGAATCGGCAGGCTGGTAGGCCTCCAGCGAGGAGTCGGAGTCCCAAGCCGAATCGGCTCGCAATCGGAAGCCACCGAGATCGAATCGGAGCGACCCGGAGGAAGCGGAGCGAGCCGCGGACTGGGGGCCCTGGCCGTCGCAGAACACGATCCAGGACGGAACAAACAAAAACCAAAAAAAACAGTCCCAGGCGAGGAGGAGGAGGAGGAGGAGGAGGAGGAGGAGGTGGGAGGAGGGAGGGAGGAGGAGGAGGAGGAGGAGGAGGGAGGTGGAGGAGGAGGAGGAGTAGGAGGAGGAGGAGGAGGAGGAGGAGGAGGAGGAGGAGGAGGAGGAGAGGGGGGAGGAGGAGGAGGAGGAGGAGGAGAGGAGGAAGGAGGAGGGAGGGAGGGAGGGAGGAGGGAGGGAGGGAGGGAGGGAGGGAGGGAGGGGGCGGGAGGGAGGGAGGGAGGGAGGGGAGGGGAGGGAGGGGAGGAGGGAGGGAGGGAGGGAGGGAGGGAGGAGGAGGAGGAGGAGGAGGAGGAGGAGGAGGAGGAGGAGGAGGAGGAGGGGCAGTGGTCCGGAGCTCTGGGAGCCTGGTGCAGAGAAAAAGTCAAAGCGTCGGAGGGTCTGGGCTCGACGGCTCCGCGCGAGGCGCTCTGAGCTTCCGCGGTGCCGATGGTTGCTGTTCTTTTTCGTTTCTCCTCCTCGTCCTCCACGTTTTCCTCGTCCTCCTCGTCCTCCTCGTCGTCGTCCTCCTCCTCCTCTTCCTCCTCCTCCTCCTTTTCGTCCTCCTCCGCAGCTCATGACGCTGCATCCCCAGACATCCAACG